TTCAGTCTAGATACTACACATTGTACTTCATGTTAACTTTTCTCCAGGGACAAAGAAAGAGTCCACACTGCCTTTTGTCTTGAAAACATAAGTAGAGATGGATTGAGGAGTATATACCACAAAAGAACACTATCCTCACTGAGAGTCATATTCAGATAATGCCACCACCTTGATTGGAAGAGTGAAATATTTACATCAGGCTAGGTCAGCCCTTCAAGAGTTCGAGCCACTCAGTTGCCTTCTCCCAGGCTCAGTTTCTTCATCTTCTTCATAAAACAACAAGATTGAGAAAGGGGATCGCAAAGGTTCCTGTGATCCCAATGACTTCTCCAAATGACTAGGATCCATATCTTATCTCTAAACCTCCTATAGCTTTTTCCCTAACTCACGATGCTGCCACAATCCTCAATCACTGTGGTATGGCTGTGTAACCCCTGCAGTCTTTTACTAGGACTTAGTAAATTGTTAGGACATATAACACAGTATTCTAGCTCCCAGAATGTCCATATCAGTCAGGAATCCCTCTTCTGACTAGTGTATACGCCTTGGGGGTTCTGTTGCTGGGTTTCTTTAAATGGCTTGAGGAATGCAGTGTCCATACCTAGGATTCTGTGACTTGAAGGTGTAAGAATGAGTTTTTATTCCACTGGAGTTTTTATTTGGTTAAAAATTAAAATAGACAGAATGAGTGGGTTCTATTCTTCTAGGTTATATTTAGGAATGAAGGAAATATGTATCACTCTTGGAAGATTTGTGTGGTCTTGCTCGAGGCTGACACCTATGACCTTTGGAGAGTTTTTCTATCTCTAGGATTCTTTTGCTGCAGCCCCTCCTCTGCCCTAATTCCTCAAGAAGCAGTATAATGAAGAAAGAAACATGAGCTTGGTTTATTATATTTGTAGTTTGTTTATATTTTAAAACACTCATACTTTAGAGTTAGGTAAATCAGGGGTTGAAGACCTGGTGTGTCACCTTGGGGAAGTTACTTAAGCCTTGGTTTCCTCCTCTATAAAATGTGAGTAATTGTATCTCCTTTTGAAAGTGATGTTTTTTCAGTGCAATACCATAAGGAAGTATCTACAACACTGAGCACATACCAAGAACTTTGTAAAGTTCCTAATTTCTCTTAGTCTCCACCTTCACCCCTTCTATTGGAATGAACATCAAAACCATAAAAGTAAATTGCCTGTATTCACCTCTGTTTTTGTAAAGTTATTATTCCTGAATTTTTAGGTTTGACAGTACTCAGCCTATGAATAAAGAAATCCATGTTACATGGATAAACATTTAAAAGCTAGCTTTGCAGCCAGCTTTGTCATTGTGCATGTCCTCTGGCTATTACTACATAGGGCAAGACCCACAAGTCAGGTTTCAGAGTTATTTTGGCCATTTTACTGGACAACGGTGAAGACTCTGAAGAAGTCTGAAGATTCTATACATAGGATCCTATCCTGGGGAGGTCAAAATTCCTTAGCGTGACTCAGAAGCTTGGAGGGGTTTCTAGCATTGGTTGGCAAACTGCTACTCTAGGGCCAAATCTGTCCCACTTCCTGTTTCGTACATCAGGAAGCTAAGAATAATATCAATGTATTTTAATTGTTGAAAATAATGTTTCATCACATATGTTAACTATATGAAATTCAAATTTCAGTGTCCATAAATAAAGTTGTATTGAGATAGAGCCACACCCATCATTTGTGTATTGTCTAGGGATGCTTGCACACTACAATGGCCGAATTGAATGGTTGCTATAGAGACTATCCATACCACAAAGCCTAATCTATTTACTATCTGGCTCTTTACAAAGTTTCCTGCTCCCTGGTGTAGAGCACAGACTCTAGAGCCAGACAGCCTAGCAGCATAGGTCAGCTCTGTGTTGCTTCCACTTGGGTAAGTTCTCTCAGCTCCTGTTTCCCCAACCATATAATGAGGATGATAATAGTATCTGTCTCATAGGGTTTTATGAGGATTAAGCAAATATGTAAATTTGTGCTTAGAAGAGGGTCTGGTACATATTAAGTACTATTTATGTGTCTGTTGTTATTGTTAGTTGCCACAATTTTTTCTATAAACTAAAGAAGCAGCAGCTTACCAATTTGTTGGCAATAACTGTAAGAATTTCATTTGCAGCACTCTATTAATTCTTTAGCAGTGGGGGCAGTAGGAAGATGTCTAAAGTCAACTGAAATGACAATTAGCTTAGTTGCTTATCCACAAAGCTAATTCTGCATTATTTATATGCCATATACTTCTTTCAAATTTGAGTCTTGAAAGAACTTACATTCAACTTTGAGGTCAGCCTTCACTATCTATTGCTTATAGTTGGTTACCTCTTTCTGAAGAAATAAACTTCAAAACAGAGGCCAAGGAACAGAATAGAGAGCTCACAAATAAATTCACACATATACAATCAACTGATCTTCAACCAGAGTGTCAAAAACACACAATGAAGAAAGGAGGGTCTCTTAACAAATGATGCTGAGAAAATCGGATATCCATATGCAGAAGAATGAAATTGCACCCTTATCTTACACATTATGCAAAAATCAACTCAAAATGAATTCAAGACTTAAAACGTAAGACCTAAAACTATAAAACTCCTAAAAGAAAACAAAGGGGAAAAAGCTTCAAGACATTGGCCTTGTCAATGGTTTCATGGCTATGACACCTAAAGCACAGATTAAAAAAAAAAAAAGTAAACAAGTGGGACTACAGCAATCTAAAAAGCTTCTGCGCAGCAAACAACAGAATGAAAAGGCAACCTATGGAATGGTAGAAAATATTTGCAAACCATATATCTGATAAGGAGTTAGTCTCCAAAGTCTATAAGGAACACCTGCAACTTAACAGGGGGAAAAAAAACAAATAATCTCTTTAAAAAATGGCTAAGGACTTAAATAGATGTTTCTCCAAAGAAGACATACAATATTAAAAAGGGCTCAAAATCACTAATTATCAAGGAAATGCAAATCAAAGCCAAATTGAGATATCACCTAACACCTGCCAGAATGATTATTAAAAAAAAAAAAAAATAGACTGTAAGTGTTCACAAGTACGTGGAGAAACTGGAACTCTTGCACACTGTTGGTGGGAATGTGAAATGATGCAGCCACTATGAAAAACAGTATGGAGTTTCCTTAAAAATTGAAAATATGTTTCAGCAATCCTACTTCTGGATATATATCCAAAAGAATTTAAAAACAAGGCCTCAAAGAGATATTTGCACACCCATGTTCACTGCAGCATCATTCATAATAACCAAGATGTGGAAGCAACTCAAATGTCCACCATTAGATGAATGAATTTTAAAATGTGGCATAAACATACAATGGAATGTTTGTTTCACAACACACAAACATAAAAAAAGGAAATCCTATCATATGCTATAACATGGATAAACTTCAAGGACATTATGCTAAGTGAAATAAGCCAATGATAAAGACAAATACTGCATGATTCCACTTTTATGAGGATCTGAAGTAGTCAAATTTATAGAAACAGAAAATAGAAAGTGGCTGGACTTAGGAGGAAATGGAGAATTGTTCAATGGGTATGAGTTTCAGTCATGCAAGATAAAGGTTCTAAAGATCTGCTATACAACACTATGCATATAGTTAACAATACTGTACACTTAAAAATTTGTTAAGAGGGTATACTTCATGCTGTGTTCTTACCACAAAAAAGGAAAAAAAAAACCACAGAGGCCAAAGGAGTCATAAAATGTCTAATCTACCTCGATCATTGCTATGGCACTTGAAAACAGTAGTCTACTTTCTGAACCAAATAAAAAATAGGTAACACACAGTTTATTTGATATGAGACAACAGGGACTATTAGAATTTTTTTCAGGACTTTCATTTTTGGAATTCGGGTACCCAAAAAGAGGACTTGGAGGGAAGTTATATATAAGAGAAAAACAACGACCCTAGTAAAAACGCCACCCAGGAATTTGGAATGGAACACCGTCCACCATGGCAAACAAGCACAGTACCAGTCAGCAGATGCTCCAATGTTTGTTCAACGTTGATGACTCTAAATTTTTCTATGCAGCCTCCACAGCAAATACTGTGAATTTTGCTCACTAATGCATTTCTAAAAACGTTAAAATTCACAAAAACATTCTGCGTGATTGAAATTACACGAATCGAAATCCAACAAGAAGTCTTACATCTGAATAGCTTCAGACTGCTCAAGTGGGTGAAAAAGAAAAACTTGTGAAACAAAGAAAACCACTTTCTGAATCACCTAAGTGAAATTCCAACCTCTCACCTTCTTGAATATTTACCAGCACGCTTTGCTTGCTCTAAACCTTTCTAGTGTAAAAGGAAGAAGAGTCATTTTGGAGGGTTTATTTTCCTCATCCAGATACTAATTCAAACAACTCATTTTCTAAGAACGACCTGGACAGAGCTGCCCTGCCCAGTAAATTCCCTCGGTCCCCTCCAGGCCTTATCCAGATACGCCCAGCTTAACCAGGAAATGGCAACGCCCCCTACAAAGGAAACATGCAACTTGTTCAGTGAAATGTGCAACCGCAACCCACCCGCTGCCTTGCACACAATTTCCGAAGTTTATTCCTGTTTTCCAAGGGCGCTTTCATATTTTGACCTTTTGACGCTTCCTTCACCCATAGGCAGCTAAGAGGGGCCCTAATGCACTTAGCCACTCCCCCGGTCGGCCCTGTCCAATAAAGTTGTTTAAAATAAAAAAAGTCAGAAAACAGCCAAGTAGAAAGAAAAAAGGAATTCCCGGGGCCATTGATGTTGGATTGTGCCATTCGTTCCGAAGGGTGGGACGTCCCAGGTGTGAATAAATTCTCAGGTCTTAAGTCGCTTACCGGACTTTCGATGATGCACGGTCTCAGCAGAGAAAACATAAAGAAAGGGCTGGGCGCAGGCGGGGGCCGCGGCTGGGGCGGAGACGGGTGC